GGCAGAGGACAGCCGTGCTTCGGTCCTGCCGAGGGGCAGCCGGTGCTGGTGGTGGCAGGAGGCAGCTCTGGCCAGGCAATTTTGCTGCTTCTTCCTTTGTCACCAGCATTCGTAGGGAAATGCTGAACCTGCCTGTGGGTGAAGGGGAACGTGCCCCTTTGATGTGTTCATCTAATTTCCAGGAGAGGCCTTCGATTTGGGTAGGACTGGGTCCTACAGCAGCAGGCTGTCCTCATCATAAGGCCTCTTGTATGAAAATCCCACTTTTAATGTATCTGACAGTGTTAGCACAATGAATAGGAAAACGTTACATATCTTCTTAAAAAAAATAAAATAAATTAAAAAACAAACAAACAAACAAACAAAACAAAAAACAACCAAACAAAAAAAACCAACAAAACCAAAGGATATTTTCAGATGAGACCTATGAATCCAAGATGAAAAAAAAAAAAAAAAATCAGTACAAAAATCTAAGGAAGTGGATGTGTTGTCTGGAGGTGGGATTTGCCCTGTGCCTTGCAGCGGGTGGAGTGATTATATTTTTTCAAGTAGCTCATATATCCATAATTTGAAAGAAAGATGGTTTTGAATTGTTCTGGCAGTGGAAACTGATGTCATGTGGAAGCACCTTGAGGAGGTGCGGTGCTCTCCTGTGCTAGGTTACTGGCAGGGCTGGTCTGCCCTCAAGCTGCAAACAGGTAATACATCTTATTACATGAAAAAAAAGGAAACTGCCAAGTAACTATGATTGTTTCCCACTGTGCTCTTTTATGGAACAGTTTGTTCAAAAGCAGAGATTTTATTTTTATTCCCTCCCCACCCCAAACTCTAATTGCAGAAATACCAGATATGTCATATCCAGTCTTTCTGCAGTTTCTTGGCTTTCTCTGAGTTTTGAGCATTGAAATTCTACACTGAAATTCAAATATGTTAACAGAATAAACAGAGCCCAGAGCTGTAGATTGCCTGAGTGCAAATTACTGCCTTTTCTATCTCTAAAAGTTAATTGCATTGGAAATGTCATCTTCCTTTGAGCATCAAAGCCTGTAGTGTCCACAAGATTTATTTCGCAATACAGATGAATTTTAAACTTTCTTCTTGGCATTGGGAAAGGTTTTGTGGCTCTGGTCTCAGCGGGCAGCTCAGCTTTGTTCTGCAGATGCCAAGGCTGGTACCCTCATCCCTCCTGAGCATCCCCCCGAGCGACAAGATGGCTTTGCATCAGCAGGGCTTAACCGAGAGGGTTTGAAGTGGTAAAATGTGGACTCGCTGCTGTATCAGGCTGGACCAGAGCTGGCTGAGCCATGTTAGCCCAGCACCTTGTCTGGGATCAGCCCTCTCCGTGTAACCCAGACATCTCTCCACACTCTGCTCTTAGCTGGGAGGACCAGGGACACCTTCAAGCCACGTCCTGCTCCCGTGGGACAGTTGGTGAAGTCCTTTCCGGCACTGTGTGTGTGTGTGCTTATGCCCGTTTGTCAACAGAGGGGCCAGCCCTTGTTCTGGAAGTTTAAACAAGATAACTGGAGGGAAGAGAGAGCCTGCCGTCCCTCCAGATAGCAAGCGTCCCGGAGGGCACTGGCGAAGTATGATTTGTCATCTGTGAAAAATGTTTGCATTTGACAGCTTTTCACAGGAAGCCTGTCAGAGCGATAATTTAATGAGTACAGATTGCTTGCAACACAGCTGTAAAACGTGCTTTTACAGTGCTGTAAAATAAGCAACTGAGGCCTTTGCGTGTTTGCTTTGTTTGAGAACAAGTCAACTTCTAATACAAATGAAAGGTGGTCATTTATTTTACCCAGCAAACAGTCAAGACGTAAGAGAGGAACCTGCTATTTTTCTTCTTGTGGCAAGGTTAATGCTGGGTTACACTGGTGTTTGCTAATCAGCTTGTTTCTGTGAAGGGGAGAATTAATATATAATTAGATGTAGGGAGTTACTAGTCAGATTAGCATTTAAGTCGAAAAAAGGACTTTTGGGCTTTCTTCTTTTTGTTACTGATCTCTATGCTCATGGTTTGCACAGAGGAAAGCTTAGCGTTCCTTCCTGTGCCCAAGCTGGTTTCTTGACGGGGGGGGGGGGGGGGGGGGAGAACAGAAACTGAGGATGCAGGCTTACAGTATGCCAACCGCTAGAGCAAACATACCTGTTTATTTTTCTCATTTAATCCTTGCTGCTGACCAAGTGAAGAGCAAGGTGCGTTGCGTGGCGGAAGATGCTGCCTTGCATGTCCCGCTGCTGGGTCCGTCCCTGCTCGCTGGCGTGGGGCGGCATCCCTGCCGGTGTGCTTGGCACCCTTCCTCCCCACCTTGCCCACCTCATCCCCCCCGCCCCCTCCCCAGGAGCCTCGAGGTGCCAGCGAGGCCGCCCGTGGCCCCGGGGGGGTCCCATCCGGCGCGGTTGGGGGATGCAGGCGCGTGCTGGCGGGGGAGGCTTTGCGGGGCGGGAGGGTGGGCTGCAGACACCCAGCCTCCTCCGGCCTCCTCCCCTTCTGATTTGGAGAGTGGCCCCTGAGAACGGGTGTTTTCTGCCTACGGAAACGCCGGCTGGTGCTCGAGCCCGAGACGACGGCTGTGCGCGTGCGTGGTGCCTCCTTCAGCAGTGTTTTAAAAAGTGGCTGGTTTTGGTGGGAAGTTTTCATTTCCTTTATTTACCTTCCTTTTGGGCAGGGAAAAGCTGCTGGCTGGGAGACTGCAGGTGCACAGGTATTTGCTGCTAATTAGGTTGCCTTTTTGTCAGGGTAATTAATGAACATACCTGGTTCTAGCCCACATGAAAAATTGCGAAGAGATGAAGTGCTCGAAAGCCTGGTTACAGTTTATTCAACTCCCACTTTGGAGTGTAACCAATAAAATGAGTTTAGGCAGGAGAATAAATTGGTTATGGTAATATGAATGTATTACTTGAGATAACTTTCCTGGCTTAAAACATTGCTTTGGGTTCCTTTAGGCTGGTGGTTGCAACTGTGTAATAGATTTCCCATCACTATAATTTCAAAATCTTATTCTTTTTGAAGAGTTTGCTGATGCATCTGCCATCTCTTGTGCCTGGCATGAAAGTATTTAAATAAACAACTTATTTGGTGGTACTAAAAGGTCTGAGCAAAGGAAGGAAGTGAGCCTTCAAAATGATTAAGTGAATTAGAAATTAATATACACCAAGCTAATCTCTATAGTATAAACTCAACAGAAAAAAATCTTCCTGGAGAGGAAATGCCAGTCATGGGAACGAAAGTGGAGGTTCCTGCTGATACTGGACAGAGGATGTGTTGGGTGTTTGAAATCAATCTCTTCTTCCCTGGATCATTTCTCTTGTGCTCCTAAGAGGCTGCATTATATACAGCCATGTCAGGCACTGAGCCCCATGACTTTGTTCGTCAGGAACTCGAAGAATGTTTCAGTTTTTCCAGAAAATGTTTTCTGTGTTAGGCTTTGTTTGTACTGGAGCACTTTGAAGACGAAAATCTGAACTTCAGCATACTTCTAATACGTTTTAACAAGGTTTAAATTCACACTGGGCCAAAATATTTCCCCCCCCCTTCCTTCTAACAACTTCTGGCTTTAAACATTACTCCTTTGAGGATTAAAAAAAAACACAGAGGCATGTTTTATTAAAAAATATTTATTGAATATGAGTCACAGAAAAGCAGAGGTCAGAATCCTCAATTGCTGGTGGCATGCATAAAATAATACGCTTCCTCGCCTGCACCGTGCGTGGTGGTGGGGGGGCTGTGCCGGCGTCCCCCCCCAGGGCTGGAGCAAATGGGGGGGCAGCTCGGTGTGAGCAGCACCAGCACGGGGTGGCTTGTCCTGGTGGCACTTCCCCTGGCTCTCCTCAGATCTTTCCCAAGGCCAGGGAGTGTGGAATTTTGTTCCAAAATGGCCCAAATGCATTTGGCTTAATGGACCCCTCCCCTGTTTTTTATTTTAACCCATCTGCACTAAATCTCCAAGGCTTTGTGGTAGGGTCGTCTTTGCTTAGACCCACGTACCAAGGCTTTAATGGCACTGTCTTGGTGGGGGATGTTCTTTAAACTCACTTTGGCAGATGTGTCCAAGGTGCCAGACATCATCAGGTCGTCAGCTTTGGAGGTGTATGTGGCACTGCCAAGACGCGGTGGCAGCACTTCGGCAGCGGCCGCCCTCCGGCACTGGGCTGTCCGGTGCTCTCAGAGGGTGAACCGAAGTGGGGATTTACTTCTGGAAAGTGATGAAACCCAAGGGCCCCCCCCGTCTGTCCTTTGTCATCTGAAAAATCCCTTGTCGCTCTTGTGCCAAGAGTTTAGCCCTTGAATTTTGAGCAAACTCTGGCTTAATTGTGGTTTGGTTTTCTGTACTGCCACAAACGTCTGAAGCCCCATCTGCAATCAGGGCCAATTAGGTAAATTAGAGACAGGCCCTGCCCTGAGAGCTGACAAACTTGCAAGACAGGCAAAAGAACCTGCAGGTAGATTTTTGGGTTTTGCTTTTAAAATGTATTAAAATACATTTGTTTTGATTTTTGTTTGTTTGTTTGTTTGTTTTTTTCTGAGGTTAGTTTATGATCATTCAGAAAATGAATTGACAACAGCAGAAAAGAAAGATCCATTTGTGCAAAATGTCTGTTTAACAAAAACCCCACTTTTCTCTCTTTTTGCTTTCCAATAGTCTTGTGCTTTGAAATGACTTAAGATGGCTGAATGGTAACATAAGAAGCTGGTGCTTTTTTTCTTTCCCGCCACCCCCCTCTCCATTTTGCTGACTTTTGTCATGGTGTTCGGATTTGCATCAAAAGAGATTTCACTCATGCAAGTCTTCTGTCCTGGAGAGAGGTTGGAGTGACTTGGTTTATGAAGAGTAATCAAAAATTTTGAGATGTAGAACTTGTTCAAAAATTTTTAGGGGGTCCTTTGGATGATAGTCTCATGCTGAATTTTCCAGGTAAGCAATGGCAGTAGAAGTGTGGGAACACACAACCCAATGCCCGTGCTTACCGTATCTTCTCTTCCTCTTTTCTAGAGTTCTTCAAAGAACTTCTCGAAAATGCTGAGAAGTCGCTGAACGACATGTTCGTGCGGACGTACGGCCGCTTGTACATGCAGAACTCGGAGCTGTTCAAGGACCTCTTCGTGGAGCTGAAGCGGTACTACGTGGGTGGCAACGTCAACCTGGAGGAGATGCTCAACGAGTTCTGGGCGCGCTTGCTGGAGCGCATGTTCCGGCTGGTCAACCCCCAGTACCACTTCACGGACGAGTACCTCGAGTGCGTCAGCAAGTACACCGAGCAGCTGAAGCCCTTCGGGGACGTGCCGCGGAAGCTCAAGCTACAAGTGACGCGAGCGTTCGTGGCCGCCCGCACCTTCGCGCAGGGCCTCGCGGTTGCCAGGGACGTCGTGAGCAAAGTGTCCGCGGTGAGCTCTGTCTCGTGGTTATTCCCGTGGACCCGTGATGGGTGGCCTCTTTCCCTGTTGTCCTGACTAGGTACCTAAAGGTGTCGGTGGTACTTGAGTGCAGGTGGGACCAAGCTCCATCCGTGTAGGCTGTGCCATTGCGTGGTAGAGTCGTGCTCTGGGGACACCAACATCCAGTGCTGCAGCCCGGCAGCAGGGATGTTCCCCAGGTTGATGCTGTCCTTCTTGTCTAGGGAACGGCAACGAGCAGGAAATTAAGTACCTTCTGCAGTGGAAATAACCATGTTTGCTTGTGTAATCCTATCTTCTTCAAATTACAGTGAGTCATGGATGCTGTAGGCATCTATTATGGAGCAGCTGATGATTTGCTCCTTGCTCCCAGGCACAGGGAGAGGCTGTTAGCATGAGCAAACAGTACTTTTATGATAACAGTAAGCCAGAGCCATATGCACAGGGCACGAGCCACTGGTACTTGGTGCCACACGTGCAGCACTAGTTAGACCTCAGACTTTTACGATGAGGTCACTTTTTTGTTTTAGATCAAACATATGTGATGTGCTGGTCACTTAAATGTTTAACTCCTTCTTCGTACAAGCCACTTTGGAGTGGTTTAAGTGGGTGACTTTTTTTTAATGTGAAATTTGTCTTTCATTTTAGTCTGAGTTGTATGGTATAGGGAACAGGTGTAGTTAATAATCTCCTTAAAATGATTGTGTAAGATAACAGATATTAGTGATTTCCTTTAACAAACGCAGCTCATTTCCTGTGGGCCATAGGAGATGTAGTATAATCATTTAACCAGGTGAAGATGTTTACTTTCTCTCTACCTGGTTACGGAGTAATAGAATGCCAGGCTGAAAGGATGTGCTGTAGTTTGAATCACCGTAAGTGCTAGGAAAGCAAAAATAAAAGTAAACCAGGAAAGAGTGGCTGTTCAGGTACTCCTAGAAGCAGAATGCAATTTTGGAGACAGCCACAAGCATCATTGTTAAGTGAGATAATAATTCAAATTGCTTTGACTTACAGGGATAATATTAAAATACTGTGTCTCTGGAAAGAAAAAACTAAAATCTGCTTCCACGTTAATTTTTCTTTAAGAGAAATGAGAAAAGCAGCCTGCGATAAGCCTGCATGTGTGCGGTAGGGCAGAGAATATTTGCATGGAAAGAGTTGCCATACTAATATATCCAGCCCCCAGGAGCAAGTGGTAAGTTAACGGTGGCAGGTTTAAGGTCCTTGGACACCTTGAGTCCCCATTTAATAGTTACGACTCTTACGTGAGGTGTGTCTGCATGCTGCTCGTTGAGGTTGAGGGGGGGTGTTGTGGAGCTCCATGAGTGACATATGCGGTCCCTCTTACGAGACCACAAATCCTCCAGCCCCGGGGATGCCGTCCTGTGGTGGGAAGGGGGAGGATTAGTGCTGGATGAGACCGAGTATTGTTTCTCCGTGCCGTGTCACTGGCTGAGCCTGCTGGCCTCTTGGTTGGGGGTTTCAGATTTGGTGGCTCTTGTTTCTGGCTGTGTGAAAGATAGCTTGGTCAGGGGATGGGGTTTTCGCTGCCGGAGAGTGCGGATGAAGCGTTCGGGTGGGAGGTCCATCGGCTAAGCCCCAGTATGGTTTTCAGGAATGTGCAATCACTTGATAGGCAGTAAACGTGCATGGATGAGAGATCGTGTTTATGCTCCATCTGCTCAGAATTCATCAAAACGTCTCCAGACTTGACACGGGACCACAAGGGCTACGGTCCCCGCATCTGTTACGAATCAGAGTCGTGAACCCGAGGTGGCGTTGTGATTTCTCTTTCCCTTTTGAAGATCCTAGAGTGTAGAGTTGCCTTCAACTCTAGAATTAATTGCTCAAGTGTGGAAGGTTACCCAGAGACCCACTCAGCTGCAAAAATAGCTCATGCGCCGTGGACAATCACAGTTCCTGCACTTTCCACTGCAGTTTCACAAGTTACACTGGAAATCCCGCAACAGATTGACTTTTCAAAGTGGTAGCAGAAGTCCCTGCTGCTGAATAGCTAAGCTTTAGCTGCAGCAGTGGAAGGAATAATAATCTTTTCTGTAGTGTTTTAATCTTATTCAGTGGAAATCTAACATCACGTTTCTGCAAGACACAATGGGAAATTCTATACACGAGTTTAAAAGCTGATGTTTTTATGCCTGCTGCTTTGCGGTTGTGTTTTGGGGCTTCCCACGTTACATATAGATTAGCCTGGCTTTGCTGAGCTCTATATAATGATTCTATTGACTTTTCTTCCTTACTATTTTTACTCAGGAGTTGTAGTGGGATGATGGTTTATACCAGGGATTAGCTTGAGGGATAAATCTTCTATTCTTCTTTATGAAAAAATGTCCAAAGTAATGCAACTTAGTTTTACTTTTATTGCGTTTCGTAACAAGCAAGTTAAAAATGTTTAATTGAAAATCCTCGGGAGGAGAAATACAAACTACTGCAAGACCCAGCTGCTTTTTACTTTCCCAGGGTGCTATCGGGAGAGCAAGGAGCATGTTACAGTAGAATGGCCTTGATGGCTTTTTAATGATCCTATATATTTTTACATCTTCACTAGGGAGATGCATTTAGAAAGGTATCGTTCTTGCATGAGTTTGGGAGTAAAGGGGAAAAGAAGACAGAATATTGAAAAGCTGCAAGTATGCTAGATTTCAGAGCCGGAGTGCTTTACAAAATAACTTTTAATTTGGCCTTGGATGGGTCAGAAGCCCTAACACACAACAGAAAGTGGTATGGTTTTGAGAGAAAGCACAGTCTTTTTTCAGATCGTGTCCAAAAACCACTGTTTTGATGCCCAAGTAAGTCTTCACCCCTCAAATTCCCTCCTTTGGACCCAAAAAATACAAAATTCTTCAGATCCGTCCCAAGCAGCAGATCGGAGAAGAAAACCCGGGGTGCTGTTTCTGCTGGCTAGAGCCTTGTCTGGCATCTGAGGTGGGCTGCGAGGGGCTGGGGGCCTCCAGCGCTTCCCTCCCTCCTCTGCTGATGCCTGGTGCTTTCCCTCTGACCTTCCTGCCCTCGCCTTCAGGAGACGGAAATCTGCCCATCCCCTAATCACTTGCTTGCTACTTAGACCTTGTCAAGCACTAAAATCAGCCGGGTTAAATTGCTGCCAGCAGTGACATTTCCTGCTCCAGCCAGGGGTGGAAAAAGGGAGCAAATACAAGCCAGAGCCCAGAGCGACTGAAAAAGGCTGAGAACCTGCAACTGGGCAGTTCTCAAGGTGCAGAGATGTTCCTTTCATTAGTTATATGCAATTAAACCTGCAGCCGGTCGAGGGTCATGGTGCCTTGGAGGGCACGGTGCTCGGAGGCTTGTTGAGTGCGGGTCAGCAATAGATGTGGGATGGAGGTCCCCGTTGTGGGGGAAGAAGAAGAAGGTGAAGTCAAGGACTGAGCCCCAACAGTATTTCGTAGGGTTGGGAGGAGCCTGCTTGTCTCAAGGGCTGGGAGGGGAGGTCTGGCTGAAGGTCGGCAGTGGCGGGGCATGAAGGACAAAGCATGTAGGCGCACAACATCAAACCCCTGCATTTGTGTCACCCTCTTTCCGCAGAGCTGTGGACGGGGGACGTGCGGATGGGACCTCCTGCAGTTGCAGTGGTGGCGATAGTTTTCTGCAGCCCCCTGGGAGATTTATACTGATGAACTGTTGTTTTGGGGTTCTTTTACCACTTTTTGCCTTTGTGTCCAATCCTTCGAGGAACTGTTTGGAGCTCTGGAGGCTCCCAAATCATCTTCCCAACAAGCATTTGCATGCTGAAACCCACACGAGGCGCCAGTTGCCACCAAAGCAGCTGCGCTGTTGGAAAGGGGCTTCCAGCCCATCCTCAGGGACCCTGGCTGTTTTGTCCAGGACAGGCAGCAGCTTCAGCATTATGCAAGAAATGATGTTTTAAGTTGGGAACACAGGTATGAGCTGTCTGAAATAATACACAGCTTTGTATGTATTTCTGACACACCCACCTCATCATCTGCCGTTCTCAAAGACATTAAAAGCCAGGAGGATGCTGCTGGAGATGTTCGCGGTGGGTGGAGGCGGCTCAGCTTCCTTGGTATCAGCATTTCTTCCCTAAGGAAGTGTGATAGTATCAGCCAAGGAGGGAATTTTCTTCAAACAGTTTATAGAAGAAAATTGCGGAGGGGGCAAGCGATTGCTTTCCCACAGCTGCTCCAAAGTTGGAGCGGGAAGCCCAGTGGCTTTTTAAGCCTCTTTAGTCTGAGCTGCCTCTTTTAATGGGGCATCCATCACGCAGAAGGTGACGTGAGGAACCTGCATAAACCAACCTACCACTGGCCTGTGTGAGCTCCCTTACCTCCAGCCGCATCTCCTGAACCATGCTCCTGTACTTTTCAACCTGGATGCTGAATGTGCACCGGACATTAGTGCAGGAGAAGTGGTGGTGAAAATAATAAAGCACTGAATGAAATGCGTTGCTTGCATGCATTGAGAGGAGATGGGGGCCAGATGCTGCTGCTTCTTGGGCAACTGAGAACCAACCAGAAGAGCCGAGGAGCCCTTTTAGTGTTGCAGAGGGACGTCTTGAGAAGCAGTGCTGACCAGGCAGCAAGTTGCAAGCCATGGGGCCAGACCAAGGGTTCACTGTGCACAAAGAGGTTGCCTTCCATGTGCCAAGGGCAAACATCAATGCAGAAAACAATACCAAGCACTTCTCCACATCAAAGATGACCCTGAGAAGACCTGCCAAGAATGTGGCTGCATCTGCCTCAGCTCCAGCCATTTGAGGGTCTGCGCTAGGCATAGCCTTCAAAGCATGCTTGAGCAGCAATCATCATGGATTTAACGGGCTGAGAGCATGTGAGGATGTAGCTCTGGGTTTGGAGCTGATGGCAGCGTGCAGGAGTGTTTCAGTCCACTGGGGTGGGTTTTTTTGTTTCTTTGCCTGCCCTTTACACTGTGGTTCTGCTGCTAATTTTGAGAACAATGGGAGGGATAACTAAGGAAGTTTTCGGGTGTAGCTG